CATTTCTCAGCACCACATAAGCAGAAAAAGCCGGAAGTGGGGCTGAGGCTCAAGTGGTAGAGCACTGGTCTACAGCAAGAGCTGGGGGACAGAGCCCAGGCCCAGAGTTCAGGCCCCACAACCGACCAAAAAAAAAAAAGATTGGCACTTGGCATTATTTTGATCAAATTCATTACTTCATTTTACAGGCACTTGCTAATTTGGGAAAGTGCAGTAAACTGCTTGTGGCCAAAGGTTTAGAAGTTACAACTATCTTTCTATTAACTGGAAACTGATTGACCCATTTATGGTGATGATTAAGAATAAAACAACTTGTTCACAAAGTATTTTTATCCATGTATTTTATTTTATTTTTTTTGGGGGGGGGGGTCCGATCGTGGGGCCTGAACTCTGGGCCTGGGCACTGTCCCTCAGCTCTTCAGCTCAAGGCTAGTGCTCTACCACTTGAACCACAGCGCCACTTTCGGCTTTTTTTTTCTTTTTGCTTATGTGGTGCTGAGGAATCGAACCCAGGGCCTCAGGCATGCAAGGCAAGCGCTCTACCACTGAGCCACCTTCCCAGCCCATTGTCCATGTATTTTAATAAGTAGTATCCCTGGTTTAAGATTAAAGAAACTAATCTTAGGGATTAGTGGCTCAGTGCTTCTCTAGCATAAGGGCCTAGGTTTGATGCTCAATACTACCAATAAGCAGAAGGGTATTAAAGATAGATAGATAGATAGATAGATAGATAGATAGATAGATAGATAGATAGATAGATAGATAGATAGATAGATAGATAGATAGATAGATAGATTAGATAGATGGATCTTCACACTAACTTCTAAAATTAAGTGCTAATACTGAGTCACAGATTAACTCTCTAAAATTCAATCATAGCTAATGGTAATATTAGGATTTAAATCCAGGTATTTTTGGGAGGTGAGGGTATTTTGTTTTGGTTTTGGTGTTACTGGAGTTTGATAGGGTCTTGCACTTCCCACTAGCACTCAGCCACTCAGCTCATCCCTGTTTGTGGTGGTTTATTTTCAAGATAGGTCTCTCTTTATGACCATGTTGGCCTGGATTTTGATCCTCCTATTTGTACTTTGATTTGTCACTGGGATGACAGGCAACTGATTAAGCTTTTATGCCGAAGCCTGGCCTCAAACTACAACCCTCTATTCTCCCAAGTAGCTAGTTAAAACAAGTTTATTAATTCCAAGGCTAGAGTTGTTTTGGGGTTTTTTGTTTTGTTTTTGTTTTTTTGCTTTGGTCAAAGTGTTTATATTAAGTGAATTAAGTGCATTTTAAATTCATTGTTTTGTTTGAGATAGAGTCTTACTTTTAGCTAGGCTGGCCTTAAACTTGTGATCCTTCTTACCTTAGCTTTCTGAGTGCTGGCAGTTCATACCTGGCTTCTCAGGATCTTTAGATTGGATGGAAATACTTTCTCTAAGGTTCCCAAATCTCAGAAGAATAGATCTTGGGATATTCCTTAGGGATTTATTGTCCTACTTTACAGATGAAGTTAAATAACTTGGCCAAAGTGTTAGTTCATAAATAATTATTTTAGAACTAGAACTAGAATCTATGCTTTCTAGTTTATAGCCCACTACTTTGGCATCAGTTCAAATGATCTGTCCCTGATGAAGTGTTGTAATACCTATCTTAATCCTTGATTCACATTATAATACACTTTAAGATCTATCCTGGAATAGTTAGGTCAGTTGGAAAGTCTCTAGGTTCAGTGTTTTATAGTGATTATACCTTATAGCAGGACACATGGATACATAAGAATGGAAGTACCAATGGAAAGAAAAAGGATCATTTATTACTTTAAATTTTAATGCTTTAACATATGATCTTATAAAAAAATTCAATTTGGTCATATGTAATGCTGTCTAGAAACAATATTTTAGAATTCTTCTGAGTCTTGAAATGGTCAACAAATGCCATGACAAAATTCATTTTAAATCTTCCAACTCAAGTAAAAGTATAAAGAAATGAGACAGTTTTTCCTCAAGGCCTTTGTGCATTTTTTTAATAGAAAGCCCCTGCCTTCATGTGGAATAGAAAACTAGCTTAGTGTATTTCACACTGTTCAATCTAATTTGGAATCTTTTTGAATTCCTAGGTGCTTAGGTATGAAGAACTTGCTGCCTAGAGCCTTGTTTCCTGACAGTGGAGAGGAAAGGATTAAATTGAGCTGAAACTAAATTGATTGACATTTTGACACTGAAGACTGTGAAAAGAAAAGGAGTATGTTGAACTTTTTAAGATAGACAGAAACATAACTAATTCCTTAAAGATGTCTTGATTTGCAGAGATGATCCTTCTCTTTAAAAAAAAATCAAGACGTTTTAGCATTTTTCTAATTTCCTATATTACTGTTAAAAATATCTAGAATTTAACTTTGAAAAGGTCTGAGTGGAGGGTTAACATAGTTCCTTACTTGAATCAACAACTAACAGAGGTCTTTTAAGGAAAAACGAAAGGATTAGGAATTTCTGGGACATCACTATAGGAACCTTTTTATAAAAGACAAGAATACATATTTATGAAATCAGTATCTATGAAATCTTTGTCGCTAGCATTTTTAAATGCAAAAGATAATGAGTTTGAGTCCAGTAATATACATTTTCTGTGGGATTCTTCTTTAGACAGATACAGGTGATTGCCATATTATTATCTTTTTTAAGTAGCACCATTTTGTGTTTACTTCAATATAATCCCATCTCTGCTATTTGGAGAAGGAAACTGGACTCACCTTAACTGTGCTGTTCTAAAGTGCCTGCTGCCTTCCCCTCCCTTTTATCACAGCATGAGATTGTAATGAATTACAAGCTAAAGGAAGTTTCAAACTGACAAGTTAGCCAGATATTTTAAGCAATTTATTTTGGGGTGTATCAGCAGATTTTTTTTTCTTATACTGCCATTCGGGTGCCTGCTGACACAGCCTGAATAAATCCTTCAAACATTTTCCTTCCTAGAGATGGATGGAGATGATGAAACTCTAAGATGCAGACTTTCCATTAACTCTTCACTTCACCAAGAAGTATGGTTCCTTCCTTAGCATATCTCTAGAAAATTTATATATCTCTTTCTAGCATGACTTGGCAAAAAATTTTTTAAGTTGCTCCGTGCCTTGGCAACACCTGTAAGTTTTAGAGATCAAATAACAAAAATGATTAGGATTTAGACACTGATTTTTTAATCTTTGGTATTTACTCATTATTAGCATTTTGAAAGTCACCAAACTTAATAGGAAATGAGCCTGAACATTTTTTTCTTGGTTCTAGTATGTTGTTTTTTGTTGTTGTTGTTGTTTTTGGGTCCGGTTATGGGGCCTGAACTCTGGGCCTGGGCGCTGTCCCTCAGCTCTTCAGCTCAAGGCTAGAGCTCTACCACTTGAGCCACAGCGCCACTTCAGGCTTTTTTCATTTTGCTTATGTGGTGCTGAGGAATCAAACCCAGGGCCTCAGGCATGCAAGACAAGCACTCTACCACTGAGCCATCTTCCCAGCCCCTAGTATGTTGTTTTTAAATGACTGATTTGTACGTTTTCTCTCCTAATTGATTAGTTTTTTAAAAAACATTACTTCCAACTTTTTAATTCCTGAGGCAGCTTTATTTGTTTTAGTCAGTTATTCAGAAATGCTAAAAATGCTGATGCCTGAATATACTTGCCCTGACAATATGACATTGGAAGAGCAAGGGGTAAGAGAGCCTTTACTAAGTGGCTCCCCAGTGGCCACCCTGTAAACCACTCACTAGGGTGGAGGAGGGAGTTTCACTTTACCAAGAGTGAGTCCTGGACAGGTGAAAGGCACAGCTCAATGAGTTGAAAGGAACCTGGCCTCTGCAAAGGCATCAGAGACTACTGGTTGGTGGTAAAAGCTCTAGATCAGAGTCATAAAAGCTGGATGCTTGTCTGGGTTACATCATTTATAAATGAAGTCATCTGCGTAAATTGTTAATGTTCCCACATCTGAAAAATAAGGAATCTTTAGCTTGCTTGCTAATCGAGGGATTTCACTGCATGTTGGAATCAACGAAAGAGAACTTGAAAAGATAGAGCTAGATCCTAACCCTCAAGGTCCAATTTGGTTGGTCTAGGGTGCTGTTTGGGCTTGGGTTTTTTTTTTTTTTTAATACCGTACAGAAGGGTTACGATTACATGAGCAAGATAACGAGTACATTTCTTATCAAGCATTGTTGCCTCCTCCTTTGTTTCCCCTTCCCATCCCTTCCCATCTCCTCCTCCCGTTCCCCCTACCTGATCCTTCCCCCCCCCCACCAAAGTTGTGAAGTTAGTTTTTCGACATAACGACTTGTACATCTCATTGTTGCAATGGGTCCACCTGTATCTTGGGGATTTTTTAAAAATTAGATTTCTACAGTTCATATGTGCAACCAAGGCTGTTATAAATCTATAAACATAAGGCTATGAATATAAGGATAACTAAGAAAGACCCTATACATTTATTTGCAAGGGTTACAGATATTGACAGTGTAAGACAGGGTTACATATACAATATGTATGTGTAATATAATCTCTGAATTCTCCCAACACATAAGAAAGCCATTGATAAATGTTTCTCTTACAAATGTATAGCCTTTAAACTTTTTGTTAAGGTTATTCATAAAAGTAGGTTTAAGGTACAGTGCATACAAACCCTGTTGAGAGGCGGCACTTTTTTGGTCAAACATCTCCCCCTTTTTCTCTTAGGCTGGGCACAGGACAGACCTTTCCCCAGGCTACCGCGTCTTCCGGTCGCCGCGGGCTCTGCATGCCGGCACTAGACCCGCGGGATCCGCGTGGGCGCCGATCCCCGGGGCGGGGCGCCGCGAGCTCCCGGCGAGCTCCGGGGCGGGGCGCCCGCAAGGCGGATCCTCACGGTTCTCCAGGCCCTCCCACTCCCCGCCCCTCCGTCGCCCGGCGCCCCGCCCCGGACGCGGGTTGGGGCGTGCTGCCTGCGGCGCCCTGCAACCCAGACTCCACTGCCGAGCCCCTGGGCTTCGGCGGCTGCCTCCGCGAGACCCGGCCGGCCCAGCCTGGCCGCCGGGATCCAGCGCCTGTGGGCGCTTAGTCCGACGTGGGCACCTGGTGCGGGAGCCCGGCTAGGGCCGGGATGCACAGCGATGCCTCTTGAGTCAGCCCCATGACCCCGAGCACTTTGGCCGGAGAAAGGAAGGAGCCCCCCCGCCTGCACCTGCAGCCTCTGTGGCCTGGACATGATCCCGTACTTCTCCGCCAACGCGGTCATCTCGCAGAACGCCATCAACCAGCTGTGAGTCGCCGCGCCCTCTCGCCCCGGGGACGCTCAGAAAGTTTGCTTTCCGCCGCCCAGCCGGGTTCCCCATGTCCCGGTGGCGAACTCGCCAGCCCGGGGGGAAAGCTGAGCCGACGCGCGCCGCTGTGCTGCGCGTCGGGGCTGGACGAGCGAGGTGGAGGGTCGGGTGATTGGTGGAGTCAGGAATTGCCCCTGGAGTGTGTGGGAAGAAGAATCCTTTAGAATTTTGGATAACATTTGAGGGAACCTGAGAAAGGAGTTGTGCCGGAGAAGTTATTTGTGGTGACCAAGTGACAGCCGAGCCGTGAGGCATGCGCGAGGGGGTCTCGGGTGGTCGGCAGAGTCGGCACAGAAGGCCAGAATACCGGGAACTCTGCGGGTAACTGCTGGTTATCAACTTCGCGTGGTGCTGGCTTTAAGTTTGTGCGTGGCCATAAATTTCTGTTACTGTGCACACAAAGAAAGGCAGTTCATTCTTCCTTCCCGCTGGCGCAGTCCGGAGTTGGGTCAGGAAACTAGATTCCTTTTTTCCTAGATTGTTTCCTCTTATTTTTTTTCTTTTATGGGCCCATTTCTAGTACTCGCCTGTACCAAGCCTGCGCCTGCAGTCTTTCAGTCACTAATGTGCACGATTCAAGCAGATCTTTAAATCATCACTATTTTTAAAGTCTCTGTAGTTGTCATTCCCTTCCGATGTGGTTTAGCAGTTTGTGAGAACTGTGTGTGGTGGAGCTTGTAGTTAATCTTGCCTGCCAATTACAAAGCTCAAAGTAGAGGAACTCCACTTATTCGTGTTGCATTCTTAAAACAGTAGTGTGGTTTAAGGTTACTTTAAATACCTAAAGTAACCTCAGTTACTTGGAGTGTATTGGCCCTCCCTCCAGAGTATCTTCTGAGGAATCACCTGCAAAGATTTTTCCCCCTAGACTTTCCTTATCAAAAGGACACTACTATTCTGTTTTCACCTTAAGAAATTTTAATGTCCAACAACCACCACCAAAACAACATTTTGCATTATCTCATATTAAAGGTCCAGAGAATACCATGTAAAGTGATTTATAAGTAAATTTTACACCTGATTTATTTAATGGCTTGCTGTCCTGTTTCTCACAATGAAATGAAACTCATTTGAGTTTCACCTTTTTTCTGATACTTAAGAAAAAAACAAAGTAATATTATTAACAATACTTTAAAAGTAAAAAAGCCAATGCAACCCAAGTGTCTATGTATTGATGAGTAGAAGAACAAAATATGGTCTATACGTAGAATGAAATATTCGGCTTTTAAAAAGAAGGAAATTTTTTCACATGTTACAACATAGTGAACTTTGATGTTGGGTTTTGGGGGACTGGGGAGAGCAAAATGGGGTTTGGACTCCGGACTTCATGTGAGGCAGGTGTTTTAGAACTTTAGCAGTGCCCTCAGCCTTTTTTCACTTCAGTAATTTTTTAGGTAGGATCTGATGTATTTTCCAGAGCCAGCCTCAGACTTTGATCCTACCTATGGCCTCCCTTGTAGCTAGGATCATAGAACCTGTAGGCATGGCTTATTGATTAAGATGAACACTCCATAACTTCTCCCTACCCCACTCCTGGGCTGGTCACAAGCTCTAGTCCTCCCAATCTCCACCTCCTTAGTAGATGGGATTAAAGGTGTGATCCACCATTTATTGACCACTTATCACTGTACTAAGAGTTTGGTATATATTATCTCATTTAATCATTACAGCAGTCCTGTGAACTAATTCTATTTAAGGTTACTTAAATGATGAATTTCAAATGTAGAGAAGTAACTACTCAAGGCTATATAGTTAGTAACTGACAAAACTGTCCTTAGAATCCAAATTCTTTTCCAAGGCTGTGTTTTGGGGGTTTTTTTGGTGGGGGGGCAGTCCTGGGGCTTGAACTCAGGACCTAGGCACTGTCTCTGAGCTTCTTTTGCTCAAGGCTAGCATTCTAGCACTTGAGCCACAGTGCCACTTCTGGCTTTTTGTGCTTATGTGGTACTGAGGAACCAAACCCAGTACTTCATGCATGCAAGTACTCTGTCACTATGCCACATTCCCAGCCCACCAAGGCTATATCCTTAATCACTATTTTAAAGACATATATTTTGGAGGCTTACACTTATAATCCTAGCATGAGGAAGCTGAGGCAAGGGGATCTCTAGTTGAAGGTCATCTAAGGCTACCATGAATCCCTGGCTCAAAATAATACCACTCCCTTCTTCAGACACACACACATACACACATATTTTGGAACTACATATGGGATATGCCTGTAATCTTAAGATCTCAGCCTCCTAAATATCTAGGATTACAGAAAGATTTTTAGCTGAATACTGGGCACTTGAGATTCACACCTGTAATCCTGGCTACTCAGGAGGCTGAGATCTGATTATTGCAGTTGAAAGACAGACAGACAGGAAAGTCCATGAGATTCTTATCTCCAATTAACCACCAAAATCCCCTTATTTAAGTGCCAGGACCCAGGGGGGGAGAAGAGGAGGGGAAACCTGCCACAGCCTCAGCCTCTTAAGTGCTGAAATTACAGGCATGTGAGACCAGTTGGGCAAATTTAGGATCAACTTGTCAATCTGTTTTTCTCTTGCAACCCTAGGGATTGAACTGAGCTAAAACCCCAGCTCAATTTTTTCTTGTTATAATACTCATTTCTAAACTGTACTTTCTAGTGTTGCTTTAGATGTCATGTTTATTTATAGTATTTCTCAGTTCAACATTAAAAAGTCATTAGGGATCACTCTGAATAAAATTTAAATTTATGAACTTAGTTGTTTAAGGTCATAAGTTCATGTAAAAGTTGTGTGTGTGTGTGTGTGTGCCTAAGTTCATGTAAAAGTTGTGTGTGTGTGTGTGTGTGTCCCCGCGCGCGCTGGTCCTAGGGCTTAAATCTGGGTCCTAGGTAGCATTCTTCCACTTGATTTACAGCTCTACTTCTAGCTTTTCAGTAGTTAATTGGAGATAAGAATCTCACAAACTTTCCTGTCTGGGGTGGCTTTGAACTGCAGTTCTCAGATCTCAGCTTCCTAAGTAGCTAGAATTACACTGGCATCTAGCCAAAAGTTCTTAATTAAGGGTCCATGGTCATCTAGAGGTATATATATGGCTTAGCTTCAGAATGTTAGTTCCCTGAGAGCATATGAACAATGTGCAGTAGGCAAATACAGATTTTAAAATCAGATTCTCAAAATAATCTATAATCTCAACAAAGGTTAAGAACTTCTTTTCTGAAGGGAACTCTTATTACCAAATCCTGATACTCTAAACCTTTAACTGATTTATTTCATGTGGTACCAGATATGTAAATAGCAATGACTAATGGGAATAACAAAGATTCAGATTTAGAGCAGGGCATACAAGGGTATAGTGGTATGTCCTGCCTATAAGACTGAAGAGGTTGTGAAGGAAGATTGAAAATTTGAAGCCATACTAGACAGTGTAACAAGAAAGGAAAGAGAAAAGGGAAAGAAAAGGATTTTAAATCACACTTAGAATTTTGAGTGATGGGGGTGGAGAGGGAAAGGGTTGGGAAGGGGAAACAAAGGAGAAGGCAACAATGCTTGATGAAATGTACTCACTATCTTGCCCATGTAAGTGTAACCCCTCTGTATGGTATTTTCACAATAATAAAAATAAATAAAAATAAATTAAAAAAAAAGAATTTTGAGTGAAAACTGACTCAGAAATTCAAGTTTATTTGGAGGAAGAGATACCTTGACACATGATTGATTCTAGCCTGGTGGTTCTCTCCTTAATACTGTAAGGTGATGCTTTTAGATTGTATTTCCTTTAGAATTTGCTGCCTCAGATTTGTGTTTAGAAATCAACTAACAAGTGCTATGAGAATTGGGTCAAAGAATAAATAGGCCAGAGTGAGATCCTAGAGGCTATCCTATCAAGGAAAGTTCATAATCTTTAAGTTTGGCCTTTCCATATCTATTTTGGTAATTTCATAGGCTCATTGTGGGTTTTTTTTTTCTTTCCTTCCCGTGTGTGTGTGTGTGTGTTTGCCGTGTGTGTGTGTGTGTATGTGTGTTTGCCTGCTTGCCTGCCTGTCAGTACTAGGGTTTGAACTAAAGGCTCTTGCTTTCACTTGGCATACTTGCTCAAGGCTGGTACTCTACCACTTGAGCCACAGCTCCACTTCTTTGTGATTTCTCGACTTTTAACAGTGAGATATGTTTGTGTGTATGTATGAGTGTGTGTGTGTGTGTATATATATATATATATATATATATATATGTAAGTGAATGAAATTATAGAATAGTTGATGTATTTTACTGGTGGTTATGTCATTGTTATTGTGTTAAGATATCTCCTTTCCGCTGTGTAAGACTCACAAAATGTGTTACTTTTTAATCTGTCAACGAAGAACCGCGACCAAATTGATCCTCAAAACTTATTTATATGTAAATACAAGTATAAATTAAGTGAATTTCTGGGTCTATGGGCATGTATATGGTGAAGTTTTGATGCATTAATACCAAGTTGCCTTTTCTGTTTTTGTTTTTGTTTGTTTTTTGGCCAGTCATGGGGCTTGAACTCTGGGCCTGGGCGCTGTCCCTCAGCTCTTCAGCTCTTCAGCTCAAGGCGAGCACTCTACCACTTGAGCCACAGCGCCATTTCCGGTTTTCTGGTGGTTTATTGGAGATAGGAGTCTCAGGTCTTTCCTGCCGGGGCTGGCTTTTAACCTTGATCCTCAGATCTCAGTCTCTTGAGTAGCTAGGAATACAGGCATGAGCCACCAGCGCCTAGCTTGTTTTTGAGATAGTTATGTAGTCCACACTGTCCCTCAGCAGTCCCCCTGAGCACTGATCATACTTGACTTGCCAAATTGCTTTTCAAACAGGCTTTGCCAACTTGATTTTACCACCAACAATTACAGGTCTATATGGGCTAAAATTGTAGCTCCATGGAAATGCACTTGCCTAGCAAATTCAAGACCCTGTGTTAAATCCCACACACAAAAAAGTCTATC